AGAAGTGACATTAGTTCCTCCTCTGTGCTTACACAGTGGAATTGCTCTTGAGACATTGGCTACTAAATCAAGCACTTGGCACATAGGACTTCAGTGCTACATAGTGCTTCTAAAGAGGATTCTTCAACATTCTGGAGGAGCTCTTTGTCTCACAACACATCTGCATATCACAGCTTAGTCTCTTGTAGTAACAGCATTTGGACTCTTCTCAAAATGGAAAAGGATACAAAAAAGAAGAAGGAGGACCTTCCAGGACATCTAGATATTGCCTTTTGCCATCATGTTCATAAGAGCTTCTGGAGGGGGAAGTGCTGGGCAGAATGGCTAAGTAAATTGTACCACTGAATTTGGATTATGTCTGACCTTGGTTGAAGCAGTTGTTTTCTGCAGACTAAAGAAAAATTTAGTCCTAAATTTATTTGGCACTTTGAGAATTGTTTTCTTAAAGATGGTAGCAAAAATGGTCAGTCTTAGGACAAAATGTCCTCATATATCACCATCAACTCTACTTAGCAACAACTAAAACCTGAGTGTTATTAACATTATTCTCATCTCAGTTCCAAAACACAGCACTGTACCAGGTACTTGGAGGAAAATTAACTCTATTCCAGTCACAAGTGCATGAAGACAGAAACTTACATCTAAAATGCCACAGCATACCTCTCAAGCTAAATGGGCAATTTTACCTGCAAATCAGCAGCAGATAGAGTGAGAAATCCTGCAGCTGATTCATATGATTCCAGACCTTAATGTTGATATATTATTTTATCATCTCCCCTTTGCATTAGTATCATGATGCAAAATGAAATTCACATCATTTACTACAAAAAACTTGAAAACCAGGCCTCTTCAGTAGCCCAGAGAGTTGTATCTTTGAAGGACTGAATCCACCAAAATATGCTTGAAAAGTCTAAGATAATGTAAATTATGGCACAACCGTTCATTCTGAATAGCAGCAAGGGAACAGGAAAATGGGGTTGGTCTCCAACTGTGTGGAACAAGATATGAGGTGAGAAACATCTCTTTTGTATGAAACAAAAGGAGCATAATGTAGGCAAAAAGCCATAGCCCATTAAATAATACTGTGTTTGTCTGGAATTGTAATAAAACCAAATTAAAAAGGAAAAGCATGCAGTTATCTGCTTTGTTTCTGTGGGGAATGGGAAGTCACAGGAGCAGTCTCTCTACTTGTATGCAGCTACAGATTTCTGGGAAACACAAACAACAGGTTCAATGAGTAAAAACTGCAGAGCAATTGGGGAGAGAGAAGAGAAGAGCACAAGTTATGCAAATCAAGGCGCTCTGCTGAAAAGTTTGCTTGAATGTGAGACAAGGAGATGTGAAAAAAAGCATACTTAGGATTCAAGAGAGAGAGAGAAAATACCCACACAAGAATTCAGCCAAGACATAAAGGTTAACAACTCCATTTTGCAAAGGGTATTGGGAGACAGAAATAATCTGGTGCATTGTGTCACGGTGCAGGAGAAATAGCTACATTTATAGCAGCCTTTTCTTTGGAAGTTTAGTTGGAAGCTGTCTGAGAGCATAGAAAAGAGAATTGCATGACAAATATGTATTTTAATATAAACTCTACTTTTTTTATAACTACCAGAATTCATTGGAGTGACTGTTATTTCTGCACCTGTTTTTCTTAAATCTATACATATAAATGCCACTGTGAGGTCTTTTCCTCCCTCCACTGCTGTCTAACCTCCTCAGGATATCTGTTAGAAAATACTGGGGGATTGTGATTGTAGTAAGTCCAACAAAATCCCACATTCCCTATAAAAGGACTTAATTAATCATCCATCTTAGAATGAAGTAAAACTTCTAGATTGTATTTAGAGGGGGCGATTTTCTTAATTAAAAAAAAAAAATTGCTAGTACACTGCACTACACTCGAAGATGCTTTCATTTGAAAGTAAGTTGCCATGGTGACATTTTTCTCTCCTCTAGGAAAAAAAAAAAGAAAGAAAGAAAGAAAAAAAAAAAGCGCTTTGAATAAACTTTCCCCAGTATAACTTCATTCAGGAAAGTATTACTTCTTGGCTTGGATAACTACCACTGAACGCTGTGAAAGAACAGTGATTCAAAATCTGTGCTGGACACCCGTATGATATCACTCCACTACCATGCCTGTGATTCAGTCAGCAGACAAAATATGTAGGCAGGAGGATCTCAAGAGACTGTAGAATGACCCATGGAAGAGACTTTGTTTGTTATCCTCACTGGGGAGCTAGGGAATAGAAAATATTGCATCCCTTTCTCCTTGGCAACAATCATGAAAATTGTGGTTTTTGTAAGTTATGGAATGGTTGTTTCATGGTCTTCCTCTTGTTCCCGCTACCATCTGGAAAACTTGGAGACAGGACACATCTTCATTCAGCTTTGCAAAAAAGGCCTGATTCCAGCTTTGGCTGGGGATGTCAGAGGACTGAAGTCAATGGAGCACAGACAGGAGAAAACTCCTGCTTGCACTAGTGGCTCTTAGTGAAGAAATACATCAGATGCAACATACATCACCCCACGTTTTTTAAATCTGTTCTCATTGCTATGTTAGTTTAGTGGTTTATACTAAAGAAACATGTCAGGGGAAACTTTCATTCAGCAATCTCCTTAACAATGACCCTCCAGAAGTACTGAAGGCACCACAGCTCACGGACTTGCACCAAACAGGAGCTTCTTCAGTGCCTTGGCTAAGGGCTTGTTTGTGAGCCTATAGATTAACATCTCCTTTGCTCTCCTGTCAAGTTCCCAAGGATCAGCTCCTTTCTGACTTTTTGTGTATGGCCTCTTTTCTTCAGGTGTATGAAGACAGCTCATAACAGAGTGGCCAACAGACAGATTCTGTTACTCAGCCATTCTGGTAATGGAAGGCTGACCTGATTCTGGGAAACTGACTGTGAACCTGGGTTCCTAAATTTCTGCTAATATTGTAACTACCTGTCTGTTCTGCAGAGAGTGATACCTCTTTGAGCTGATCTCTGGAAACTGTTCTGAAACTTCTGATATCAGAATGTACTTAAGTTAGCTTTTGTGCAGTAGCTTTAAAGACTATTTTATATAAATAATCTCCATTGAAAACAAGAGAAAAGATAGTTCATCTAGAAAAGCATCATATAGTTCAAGTCCTTAATGATGATTAAAGATTTAAAGGAAAAAAAATCTGTACAAATCAATCACACAGTGCACAATGATATACTTATTCTTAGTGGTTAAATTCCTCAGCTTTTGTCCTAACAGTAGATTACTCTACTATGATTTATATTTTCAACTAATCTGCACTTTTAATTCTTTTAAGGGACACAACGTAGATGTTACACATATATGCTACATCTGGCTGTATGTTACATCTGCTGTTAGAAACTAAGCCTTATTGAGAAGGATGTTGTCTTTTTGTTTGTACCTTCATAGCTACAATATTCACTGTGTACAAATATAAGAAACAGCATAAAATTGTTAATTTAAGAGATGGTAAGTTAATAGCAAAAATACCAAACTTACGTATACCTTTAAAAGGGGTAGTGGTATAGTTGTGTTTTAAAATGTTCACTTGCTTTGGAAGCAAACAGAATTGCTTCCAGAACACATGAGACTTGTTTTAATTTATCATGAAGGATGAAAGCATTTAATTAGGTGAGTCATAACAGAGGCAACGTTAGTGTGACCACAGGGCAAAACAAACTTGCTTTCTGATAGTCACACAATCCTGCATCTGCAGCTTGCTGCAAGAGTAATGGCTTTTTATATTTTTTTAAGAGCTGTTGAGAAAACCCTGTAGTCAAAACACCACTGGCTGAATGTGCATTTGAAATTCTCAGTGAAAATAACGACTTATTTCCTTGTCATGCATTTGATTTTTTTCACAGCCTTACAAGAGTAAATAACCTTAGGTTATTTACATGTACTACAGGCAATCATTGTGGAAGAACTGGCATGCTCAAGACAGTGCCTCAGGACTTGCTTCCAACTTTCCATAGCTTTCATTGGTGATGCTTGAGTTCCAAATTTTTCTCCAAAATCAGGAGGTCTATATTTTCTTGCTTTTAATAAAAGCTTAGACTGATGCAATCATTCTGGCACTTTGCATGAAGTCATACGAAGCTATTGGATAATCGGTAATTAACTCAAATTTGAGATGATTAATTGGTTCTGTGACTTCTGTAGAAAAATGACTGGAAAGCCAGCAGAAAAGATGAGGAAGACTGAGCATAGGACTAATTAACATAAGAATCATCAACCAAAAGAAGAATTAATATGAATAAGAGAACAATGTGACTTGTAGCCAATGAACACTAATGCCTCTCCTTGCTAAAATTTTATAAATAGTGAAGAGTTTCAATAGTCATTGTGCTGGCTTTGTGGAGGCACCATCCAGCCTCCATTTCTGGACAGAAGTGTCAATAAGTCTAATACCTCAGATCTGTGTGTGGATCTGCCTCTTGCACAACCTGTTTTGGGACAACACCAAATGCTAATGACTTTGGGATTATAAAAAGCTGACCTGGCCACACTGCCTACTGGAAATGCAACTGCTACCAAATCATCTAGGAGATAATATGTGGGGAGCTCTGAAGAGTGCTACAGAGGCTGGACACTTTCAAGGATTTCTCCCCACAGTAAAGACTGTAGTAAATACTCTCAAGAATCAGGGGTTTTGGCCTCACATGTTGTGAAATATCAGCCAGACACAGGGATTAGGACCGAGCAGAAAAGTTGGCCAGAACTTGCTGTGTCACAAATCAACTGAAAAATATGAATATGAAAAAAACCCAGACCTATTTATGGTGTGATAGTTAATTCTGGTACAACTGAACAACAAGGAGTGGAAAAAAACAACGTAAAAATTATAAAGTGTAGGGATTTAATCTAAAATACCAGAGATGTTTACAAGCCTTAAATTTTCTTTATTACCTACTTTTCATGTTGGGTTGCAAAATAACATTAAAAGCTCTGCTGAAATTTTAGAAAAAATGTCATGTTGTTTAAGTCATCCTTACCTGACTCTGCAGCCTGCTCAGTGCTCCAGCAGAGTTTTGTGTTGGCCGTGCTGTCCCCAGCATCCTGCCTGCTGGACCAATACTCAGAGGAGAAGCACAGCATCTGTGTCAGAAAACTACATTTTGGGGCCTACATGGGGGGGGAAAAAAATGTAAGTATAAAGCCACAATGGATTTCTGAGTGGCTTTCAGCCTATCCATTAAGATAATTCAAAGCAGGAAGCCTCTTAAATTTGGCGAGTAACTTCTGCAAGTCCCCTGTATATATTCTAAATTAATGGAAAACACAAGACAGAGATTTTGAAAAGGTTATTTTTCTTTAGATAGTAGAATCCCATCCTTGAATTCTGTAGGATAAAGGGGGATCCCCTGGAAAACGTGTATTGTCAGGAACGGATAATTTCTGTGATTTCTCATGACAATCATGGTGACTATCTAACAAGCTCATTGCCCTTTTTATTACCTTTCTACAGATGACACAAGAAAATGAAATTGGAAGGTTTCCCATTTCTTTTATAATTTTTTTTCCCTAGATTTGTATTCAAATCTTGCAAGTTTTACGGTTGGAGGAACAAGCTGAGTTTTGTTCAAGCAATAGATTTTGCACTCATAGCAAGGCCTTGAAGAGATACAGCAGAAAATGAAAGCATGTTGACAGAACAGCTTATGTGGACATTAATATTAGCATTTTTATAAAAGTAGTCCCAACATAATCTGCAAGAAAATAAATGTGTGAAGAAGGCTCCCTACAGAACTTGAAGAAGCTCCATCCTCAGAGGTACTGAAAAATCAACCAAAGCTGGAGCAACCTGCTGTGATGTGAAACCCAGCCCAGCTTTAGGTGGGAGGCTTGAAGAAGGGTTCTGTAGGTGCCTCTTCCAAATATGAACTATACAATGAAATTAGGCCTTGAATTAAAAGAAATGTGGTGGAGGATGGAAATACAAAAACACGCACAGATGTGTGACTGCATAAGCGTTGTCTTCTCAGAAAATTAAGCACAGAGAATTTCAGAGATACAGGCTAAGAACACAGTCTTGTTTCTGTAATGTGTAAAGGCACCATTGCCAGTTTTGCAGCCGTTCAGCAGCTGGGTCTCAAACAATAAGACTCAGTTTCAGTTACCTGTATTTTGATCAAAGTGAACTTATTGGAGCTGGAATTTTCTACAATGAATTATTTACTCAGGGTAGTGATTTTCTTTAAAGTCCCCTTAAGAGTAATTCACTCATTTCCAAAAACAAATTAGCAGAAAACATGCACTTCTTTAGTATAAATTAAATGTTTATAAGTATTTAATTAAAGCTGTGCTTTGTGGTAGCTTTTACAAGTTGGGCAGCCTAGAAAACCTGCATAAGCTTGGCCAAGTCCTGAGTGGCTTATTTTATTTGCATAATTGCAGAAGATATTTTTTGGCATTGTGTAGGTGGTGTCCAGCAGTCCCTTTTTTGACATCCTCCATCTCAGAGCTTCCAAGGCAGGCAGAACATTTTGTGGGTATGTACACAGGCTTTCTACAGGAACAGCATTGTGAAGGCTTAGGGGCAGAAAACAGTGATGCTGCTGGTGCACAGAAGTGGAATTTGAGTTGTATGACCGGATGGGGAACACAGCAAGGAATCAATAGATGGTGGAAGTGAAAGGAAGGAGAAAGTTTGAGGGTAGCAGAAGTAGAAGGATTTATGATCACTAAAGCATATTCTACTCAACTTGAAACTCAATCCCATGCTCACTGCCTTTCCATGAATTCATAATTATGAAAAGGCATTAAATCTTTAATCAGAGTATGATGTAATGATTTCCTTTTTCTCATACAGCATTTGTGAACCAAAGGGATTGTTTTCACAAAGGGGACCAAGCTCCTGGAAAAAACCAAACGAAACCAAACCAAACCCCTGTATAAATGGCTTTGTTTGACCAAAAAGGTGTGGAGAAAAGGAGACACAAGATCACAGAAAGAAAAGCTGGGTTCAATGACAAAGGCAGCTGGATGCAGCCCTGAGCCTTCTCCTTGCCTTCATCTAAGCATCTTTCTGTGATTTGGTCACACTCCTTAACACAGATTTTTCACAAGCAGCCATAATTTTCTGAGCGCTGTCTCACAAGAAATCCTCCCTTTTAGCTACTTTGCATATCTGCCCCTAGGATGGGATGATTCATGCTCCCCAAGCAAATATTTCTGGTTGCTATAGTCAGCTAGCTCAGATGCTAGCTCAGGTTTCTCCAGGGTAGATGTTACAGTGTGAAGAAAAAATGTGTCCCTGCAGAGCTTAGTTCAAAAGGGCTGCAATTCCTCACAGCTGCCCCTCACAGAACACATTGGGGGCTAAAGTGAACACAGACAATCCTAGAGACTGCTAAGCAATCACTTAAAACAAAAATAAAAAATTATCTCCAGGTATCACACGCTGGGCCCAAAATATTTAGGCTCTTCCAATATTTTTGCATTTGAAGCGTGAAATTCCTCTTTTCTTATCCTTTCCTATCCTTTTGAGAAAAATTAACTAATCCGTGATCAAGACGAAAATGGGTAATAGACTGGTAAGTGATATATATATATATATATATGTGTGTGTATGTATGTATGTATATATATATATACTCTAGACAGTGTAAAATCACATTTCTTGTGCCCATGTAAGTAATTAGCTAAGGCTGTAGACTTTTCTTATTCAATAAAAATTATTGAAAATTAAATAAAATGAGTGAAAGAAAGCTGTAAGCAGTGAGGCAGCACATGTGAACCCCAGTCTGATGGCTTTGGCCATCACCAGCACTTAGTGTTGGTCACTGCAGGACAGGTTTACCCCTTGGAATCCCCAGGCTGAGAAGAAGCACCAGTGCAAGCCCAGGTGAGCTCTCACCCTCCTGTCACCCCCTCTGCTGCCCAGCCTCTCCACTGCACTGAGCCCAACTAATCCTAGTGTCAGCATTAATCAAACCTCAGGAATGTGAAGCAACAATTGACCTATTTACCCTTACAAGAAGCAGCACAAAGTAAACCTCTGGGAGCCACACCATTGCCTAAGTACACTATCAGGGAAAGATACTGTACTAATTTCTTTTCTGGCAAAGGTTACAGTACTTGAGCCTTTGAGAGCCACTGTGACTCATGTTCCTGTTTTTATAAGCACACTACACATCCTCATTCTAGCTGATATGCCTCTTCTGTCTGTATTATTTTCATGGCATTCAGCCTGAGGCAAGTTGGCTGTATGGCTGATGCTAACAGATACAATTCATTATTTTTGAGCACTAAGTGCTCAAAAGCTATCCACATGAGTGTGCTCATGTTGATAGCTTTTCCTCTTACAAGCTCACTGAAAGCTCCCAGGTGCAGCTTTCAGAAGTCAGGCACATAGATTCCCATAGAGAATTCCTTAGCTCTGGAACGGCAGGTAAGGGCTTCTTCCCTTACAAGAAAACAGCAGTTTTGTCACTGGCCAGGAAATATGCAGGCCCCACTGGTACAAGTGCCATAATTCTTAATTACCCAAAGCAGCATCAAAAGACGCTGCAGAGTTCATGCCCAACTCTCTGTCATGTTGCTTATCAACCAAAAAAAGAACCAATGTTAATAGTATGCTAACAATATATTAACAGCTAAAATTAGTTTTAAGATATGTGAAGTAAACCTCATCACTGTTGTTATTCTTTTACCGAAAATGGGTTTTCTACTATATATGTTTATCACAAGATTTTTAGCTCAACAACTGCACTGTCCAATTTGTATCTTCACAAACACAGTCCATGGCAGACGGTGACACAACACAGTCAATGAGATCAGGTTCTTTCTCCAGCAGAGACAATAAACTGTCCCACACTGTCCTTATGTACAGCTTAAACTCTAGGGAAGAAAATTACCAACACTTGACATTCAGTGCCTTCTGGAAGACACTGCAGCCAGGGAAAGGTGCAGTGGGAATAATTTCTGGCTAGCAGTTTAGAATATGATGGTCCATCTACTCAAAAATAAATTGCAGCCAGTAAATATTCTTCTCTTTTATTTTTACTTTACAAAAAGACATCCTAATATATTTGATAAATTTCAGCATGAGTGGGCTGGATTAGCAACTTCAGTATAAGACTTTTTAAATTACCACAGAGTGCAACCCTTTTAGTCTACATACATTTTTATACAACAGTCTTTTAAAAGCAGTTCCTTGGTGGGCAAAAAAATTCCATCCACCATGTTTTTGTGAAGAATATTTAAGCGTTGACATTAGAGTTAATTGGTAAACTATTAAACTGTTCAGTTGTGATGTATAGCAGCTGTATCAACAATGTCTGAATGATCACCCCATGCTACCACTAAGGACTTAGCTCATCTGTTATAGCATGAAATACTGTATGATAATTTGTAATGATGCAAGTATCTGGTAACTTGCTTATAATAACTTATCAGCAGAGACAACAGCTTAATTATATAGTCCATCTCCTGATGTACTATATTCTTAATATTTCCAAATATTTCTGCCATTCCTCACTAACTTCTAAGGGAAATAATAAGTAAATAAATAGGAATCAGTTTTCTTATTTTACAGTAGTACATTGGTTTACAAATGGAAGACAGAAAGCTTTTATTCGCTGCCAAGGTGACTATATTCTTTGTGCTCTCAGCATGATATAAAAATTTAGCCCTAGCCACCCATAAATCCTGATGGATGATGGAGAATAGGCCCCAGGTTAGTTAAAGGATGTGGAGGAAATCCTAGGCCAGACTTCTCAGAGTTGTGCAGACTATTATCTCAAAGGTGACACTCAGCCCTGGTCAAGTGGGATCTCGGTTTACACTGATCAAGTACAGACAGCTTGGATGAAATGCCCTTCTCTCCTGGTCCTACCTTCAGGTTCATTCTGAGCACAGGATCACAGGATCCATCTTGGGAACAGCAGTGTTCCAGCAAGAGCAGAGGAACCTCCAGTGTGCAGGGACCTTCTCTGTTTGGCACAGAGGCAGTGAGAAGGTAAATCGGTGTGGGATCAGTGATATGAAACCAGAAGTCCTTTCCTCTGTGTAGGTATCAGGGGCCTCCAACCTGGGTCTGTCCCATTAAACCTTGGCTCAACAAGGAGTTCTGAGCATGCATTCCCATAAGGAACCATTAATAGTGCTTTCCACTAGAGTTTGCTCTTTGCAGAAACAAACTCTATCACCTTGTTTGTTAACATGTCAGTATTCCTTCTTGGAATGAATTTCTGTCCTATCAAAACCTGTAAAATGGGAATCAGACAGCTCAGCTGAGTGAGAAAATGTCTTTAAATTTGGGAACTGCTATAGAAAATGAGATTTTGCTTCATAAACATTTCTCTGAGAAATCAGTAGCTGATAATAAGTAACTGAGAATAGGGATTTCCTCCCTCCATTTTGAAGTGATTACTTTTAAAATACTTTTGAAAATTAGAAAAAATTTAGCATGCATGGAGAGCAAATGGACATGTTTGGGACGTTCTTGTTTTGCCTAGCACTATAATTTGGTGTAGAGAATTGGGAATGTATTATAATAATGAGAATTGTAGTTAAAATAACCTTTAAAATCACTCTTTCATTATGAGTGTTTAAGTGCCCAGAAAAGCCTCAAAAAAAAAAAAAAAAAAAAAAAAAAAAAAAGAGGAATGCATGAGTATTCGCTCTCCTGGGTTTTAGCTCCTAGATGGTGCAGTGTTGAAAGAGAGAGTGTAGCAACAAGACTGAGTCATGGAAAAAAGCAAAAGAAGCAGGAGGAATAAAATCCGTACTTTTGCGCAGACTAACAAACTTGTTCCAGAAACTGTGCATGGGCTGCTGCGCTTCCCTGATCCCTGCAAGCAGCAGCAGGGACCCCCACTGCGGGTCACAAACCCCACTGTTTGGATAGGATGGAATGTCTCACAGCCAGCTGCTCCACACTGCCTTTCTCCCTGCTGCGCTGGCAGGAGATGAACCCTGAGCACAGAAAGGGAAACGTTGTTCTGGCAGAACCCTGAACCTGACACCAGGAGATTTGTGTCAAATATATCACTGCCATGGCGTGAAGGATGCTGGAAGCTGAGGATTAACTTTTCACTCATGAGAAAAAAAATCTAGCATTATATTATCCATACTTCCCAACTGTTCTACATCAGCTTGTACCTCTGTCCCCTGTGATCCTTCTCTATTTTCAGTGAACTCCTAGGCAGCCTCAGAATGGATCTTGTGGGATCATATTTACAGGAAAATGGACATGTACTAAATGGACCAGCCTAAACTTCTGGAACTAAAGAACAAGGTCACCTTTGTGGACAAAAAAGCTGATGTTGCAAGAAGAAAGAAGAAGCAGAAAAGTTGACAGACAAAGGGGTGTCAACCCGAGTAAAATGACGCTTACAGCATCTACCAACTAGAATAAGAAAGAGATGCTTGCTTGCTTTGTGGACAAAGTAGAGCTACCAATCAAGAGATGCATGGGCAAAGCAGAGCTACCAATTAAACAATGTGTGACTGTGGAGACCAAGATAAGAAGTAAACATAAACAATGTTTAGAAGGACAATAAACAGCTTTTGCTTGATTCACATTGAATCCCACAGGGTCCTTTGGTCTCCTCAGGATCTGACCATAATCTTATTTTTCCCAGAGAATTCACACATTCATAATGACAGCAAGACATAATGCATCCATAATGACATCATAGAAGTGTTTAGGTTGGAAAAGACCTTTAAGATCATTGAGTCCAGACATTAACCTGAGCACCACACCTATGTGTCCTTTAAAGATCTTCTGTATTGGCAACTCAACCACTTCTCTGGACAGCTGGTTCCAGTGCTTGAGCACTCTAGGTGAAGAAACTTTTTCTATTACTCAATCTGAACCTTCCCTAGCACAACCTGGGGCTGTTTTGTCTTGTCTTATCACTTGTTACTTGGGGAAAAAAGATCAATCTCCACCTGGCTACAACCCCATTTCAGGGACTTGTAGAGAGTGATAGGGTCATGCCCAGGCCTCTATTTCTCCAGACTAAATACCCCCAGCTCCCTCAGGAGCAGCTCCAGACTCTTTCCTAGCTCCACTGACCTTCTCTGGACACCGTCCAGCACCTCAGTGTCTTTCTTGCAGTGAGGGGCCCAGAACTGCACACAGCACTTGAGGTGTGGCCTCACCAGTGCAAAGGGACAATCCCTGCCCTGCTCCTGCTGGCCACACTATGGCTGATCCAGGCCAGGATGCCACTGGCCTTCTTGGCCACCTGGGCACAGCTGGCTCATGCTCAGCTGCTCTCAACCAGCACCCCTAGGTCCTTTTCCACCAGGCAGCTTTCCAGCCCCTCTGCCCCAGGTCTGCAGCATTGCATGGGGTTGAACTTTGGCACCTGGCCTTGTTGAAACTCAAACAGTTGTCCTCACTCCCTCGATCCAGCCTGTCCAGATCACTGCAGAGCCTTCCTACCCTCCTGGAGATCAGCACTCCCACCCAACTTGTCATCTGCAAACTGACTGAGGGTGTACTTGACGCCTTATCCAGATCATGGATAAAGATACTGAACAGGGCTGGCCCCAGCACTGAGCCCTGGACAATACCATTGGTGACCTGCTGCCTTCTGTGTTTCATGCAGGGCCTGTCTGGGGATGCAATTCCAGCAGTTTGGATATTCCAGCAGTTTGGATCCATCCCTGGATATCCCCATTCCCAGAGCCTGGCCCTGTACCAGGGGCTGCCCTCTGGTGCTGGTGCAGAGCAGGGCACAGATATAAAGGCATACTCTAAGCTTTGAACAGCCCAGTAGACTCCCAAATTTAACACCTCTATTGAGCTATAAATATTGTTTGTTTAGACTATGTTAATCTATAATTATCTTTTTCCAAGACAAAATAACTAAGTGGTATGTTTCCATTTAACTGGTACATGCCAAATTAATCTGTAACTGTAAATAGAACTAAACATCCTGAGAGACAAAGGAAAGACAAAGGAAGCACTTCACTATGTACTATGTACTGTGTACTATGTACTATGTACTATGTACTATGTACTACTTGGAAAATATAGCCAAACATGCTGTGATAATTATCATCAGGAGTTTTTTCCACAGTATAAGACTCTCTTAAAAGTAAGTTGCCTAAAAATATCTTCTCTACGCAGAAGGAATTGCAAGATAGTGATTGTGCACAGGAAGGAGAATTTCCTATTTGACTTATACAGATATAATTTTGCAGGTTGTGACAATACAATCTGTGAAAAGTTTCTGTTCCCCACATCTTTCCCTCTTTTCCAATCTATATGAATCTATGAGTCTATGACTAGGTAGAAAGTGTTATTTTTAACAAGACTCACCAGTGCATATGGTTACTCTTGTTTGCTACTGAGTAGAATCTCCATAGAACACTTCTATCATCTACAGAAACCCTGTCACTGTTTTCAGCAAGATTCCACTGTCTGCAAATTTTCTGTTCTCTGCCTGCATTTAATGCTCTTTCAACCATATACACTAAGAAGTAAATAACTTTTCCCCCAGATTTTTGCCTCTGTCCTTGCTATATTAACCAGGCTCAGAGCAGTAGCTTTGTTTTCGCCTCATTTTTGCTGAGTGAATTTGTTAGCAAACAATGACAAATTTTCATGAGCTAGCACCAGTTTTCTCTAATTGCTGATTTCTCTAACACAGCAGAAATAGAGAAACAGGTGCCAAGTGCAAGGTTAAATACAGTACTAAAACTATGTATTTAATAAGAAATCCTATTAGACAGTTTTAAAAAGCATTTAATAATTTGAAGCTAAGCTCTAAGTTCCCTCATCTTTCTAATGAAGGAAAAAAGTAAACAAGAGGATGTCAAAAGTTGTGAAATACTCACAAGTCTCGGAGTGCTGAGCAGCAAGTCGACACAACACAGAAGTTAGGATAAGGTTTGCACAAGTGACACCAGCAAATGCTCCACCCCCTCCTCCATTCTGTTTTACTTTCAGTTGTTACATAAATAAATTTGTACCTAATAAGGTGGAAGTTACTCTCAGCACAAAGAGCAGACTGTAGGGATTTCCTGCTGCCCTTTCCTAGCAACTTTCAAACTTGGAGGAAAAAACCCTAAACAAAACAAGGCAAAAAGAACTGTGGGGAAATACACATGCCCACAATTTAGAAGGCAGTGCCAAACACGAAAGGCAGCTGCCTGATTGCTATCTGAAGCATGGACCTTCCTGGACATTCTGGTTTAGCATTCCCTAAAGGGCAGAACTCTTCCAGCTTGTGCCCTTTTCGCTGCACCTTGTAGTGCAACCCCGAGTGCAACTTCCTGACCAGGGCTGGCCAGAGCTGCCTGCCTCGGTAGCAGGCACTGTGGCTTTGTGCTGTGACTCCTCCTCTTTCCAGCCAGAGCAGTGGGTTTTTTACTGGTGCAGCTGCCTTAGGTGGGAAAATGCAGCGGCCTTTCAGGACAACACCAAGAAGCCATGGAAGAAGATGATGAGGACAGAGAAGAGCTTCTTCAAAAGGCTTCTCCATCTGGCTCTCTGTGGAACAACAGGGTAGGGAGGTGGCATAGGCCAGCAGAAGAGTATCCTTGTAATGGAGCTGAAAAGATTAATTTACAAATTGCATTGAAATCCAAAGTTGTGGATTTCTAGCTGTAAAGAAAAGTGGAGGTTTAGTGTCTATAATAATCACTGGGAATGGCAGCTGTACACCTAAAGTCCTGCCTAGACACCTCATCATAAAAAAGCTTTTGTTCTTTGAGATAAACTTGAATGTCTTGAAGATGAGGCTTAGCAGCTCCCCAGGAGTACTGTCAGGTTTCCAGCAACCATCACTTACCTATGTAAGGTTCATGCATTTGAGAGGCTACAGTGAAAACAGTTCTTGATCTCTGTGCAATCTTTTTTATCTCCTCGGCTGTGCTGTTCTGGGTGCTGGATGTTATTCTGTGCATGTCACATTGAGAGGTGGTAAAAATATTCTGCAGCTAAATTACAGGGTTTTAGAAATTACTCTGACTCCTTACTGAAGAAGAGATGAGTTTCTGGAGCTGGGCATTTCCTTCTTGTTTCTCAGTGAAATAATGTTGTTTTCAGGAACACTACTTATAAAACAATACCAGTTAGTTCATTGTGCTGGCACATTCTATTACAGAAAGATTCCTAAAAATCTATTTACGAACATAAACAAGACTTCTGTATCTTCAACAGCTGGGACTGAATGTTTGCAGAGAGTAGTTACAGGTGGCTACATAAAAAATGCATTGTTGGGACAGCTTTCTGCCATTTCTTAGCACCCTGGTGTCCTGAGGTCCAACATTTGGGTCCAGCATCCATTCTGCAGAGAAGGCACTGGAATGAAATGCTGCCACATTAATCACTTCCTGCATGGGTTCAGACTTGCCGTCACTGCTACTGCAAAGAACAAAAATAAAAATAAAAAAAAGAAAAAGCAGAACTCACAATTCCATGCTTGTCAGGGACTCTTGGCTCTCTCACACAATACCTTATGTGTGCCTCCAGAAAGGCAGCTACCTGTGCTCCTGGTACTTTGCCTCAATGCAGGCTGTGAATGTCAGCTTTTAAGCAGACAGACAGACATGAGAGATGAAATCTGCTTCACCTGGCAGCTGTTAGAAACCGGGAAGGATTTGAAAGCGAAAATAAAAATACAGACTTTCCACGGCTAATGACAGGTTATGAAAAGTACCAACATTGCAGGAAAAACATCAGCTTGGATAAATATTTAAACCAAAGGAACATATCCGTTTATCAACTGTCTTGTGATAAGAGCACTTATATTCAAACAACTGTGGTCATAAATACCTGATTCTTCAGCTCACTCCACCTTAAAGAGTGAGAGTAAATAATATCAAGTATATGTGTAATTACATGTATGTATTTGGACTTGGATCCCAAGGTGTCTCATATTTTCCACTGTTAAAATCTGAAAGAAAATTGAGTGTTTTCCATTTTTTTCTTTTTGATGTGATAATTTTGCTATGCTAAATTTGACAGAATTTTCTAAACTAGGAGAAATTTATAAGCAAACGGACAAAAACAAGCACACAAAGACTGAGGTATTAACTAATTCTGTGAGAATAGGGAAAGAACAATTTCCTTTTCCCAACAATTTCCTTTGAACACAGCAAAATGGAATCATTGCATATAAAGAGGTTTTTTTTAATGATCTCTCTGGATTTGTTCTTTTTTTAAGCACTGTTTTGCTGGCCTTTCTGAAGTTTAGAATATATTTCTAGCTTAATATAAAAACTATTCCTAAAAATGACATTATTTGTATAAAAAGGTAATGCAGATGTCACTATACATTATATTACAGTAGGGTGGCAATACCTCCAGCAGTCCCTCAAAATTTAACTCTCATTCTTTTTCTTAATTACACAAAAATGTGCTCCCTAATTACACAGGAGACATTTTATAACCATCTGCTTGCTACTAGCCATACCAAGGTGTTTATTTATAGCAGAAATTATTCTCAGACTATTAAAAGCAAAATAACTTATAATTATTTCTAATATATGCATCTACAGAAACCCTGCAGATCTGTCTTCTAGATAAGGTAGGAAGGTGCATTTCTGGAAATTATCGTGTTCACACACAACTGAATTTGGTATCTGTTCTGCACCAGTGCTGTAACCACACATACCAATATTCAGGACTGAAATAGTTCTATGGAGCAGTTACTCCTGTCATAGAACATGTAATGTACTAAACATGGTACTAGGTGGGAATGTTTATCCTCTGAAAATCTAGGCAACTTCTGCTTCATGGCTCCTCCAGGGCTATAATCTGTCTCTCCTTTTTTCATACTAAATTTTGTAATGTTTCCTAAATTATAGACTCTTCAGACTGCTTATTAAAAACTGGCATTGCAAAACCAGTGTTTAATTTCTAGGCACATCTGGAGAGACATTGTTATTACACCTTTCAGAAGCATGCACAATATTTCTGGCGTGTTATAATTTCTTGCCACTAAGAATGAGCTATTCCTATTTAAAGAGACAGTGTTTCCGGGCAAAACCAGGTCAGTTGCTAAGTCAGCAAAAGCAAAACAAAGGGAAAGGCATTTAATGCATAAAATGTGTAAAATGTTTCTGAATCTGTGAAAAAAAGCTAACACAGAGAAATGTGCAGCTCTTTGTTGGAGTTATGTTAGGAGCATATAATCTTAAGTTCCACGTGGGCAAGTTCTACTCTATTTAAACAAAATATTTGCAGTATTTCAGCCAACATTTTTCCTAAGAAAGTTGCTCTTCAAATTGCATTATAGGAAGATTCTACATATAAATTAATTATAAAACAAATTGATTAAAGTTCACTATAAATAAAAACAAGCTGGCTAACATCCCAAAAGGAATCCCTTCACTATAGAGGTTCTCTCAAATTATACTTGTGTTATTTCTCTCTGTTAATCAGACTTGAGTGGAGCAGCCAGACCACAAAGCTCTTGCAGTTCACACTCTCTGATGCAGGGAACTACATGCCAAATCCACAAAATCGTTGATGACTCCAATCCTTGCACTCCAAGGTAGCTCCTACAGGAACAGAACTCAAGTGCTTGTATGAAATGAGGCGCTGTGCTACTTGACCCGAGATGACTGGACACCTTCTGCACTGGCTGGCTGGAGCCCACAGCAGTGCCTGGGGGAAGCAGGCACATTTCCCTGTTAGGTTGCTCATGCTGAACACAGCAATGCCTAAATTAGCTGAGTGGCAGGGCTGGCAAGAGCCTTTGAGGGTTTAAATGCCCTTGGCTGCACTGGTACTGCCTCCAACCAGGACCTGTAGCTCATAATCCTCCCCTGAAAGCAGCACCTTTATGCAGTATAAAGCACAACATCCAAAACATGTGTCAGTAATTTTTTTTTTACTAGACAAGCATTTTCTAAGTGTTTCTCAACTGAAATTCCAGAACAGCGAGTTGAAGGGTCAAAATTTTACATTATAATAATCAAACTGAGTCTCTTGGGAGACGGGGGGGGGGGGTGGATTCCTTTCCTCTTAGCTAACAAATGTTCCCAAAATGTCTCAGACTCAATCCATGTAGACACCCTTTCTGAGGTTAGCAGTCTGCTTTGTGGCTCACTTCACCATTTGTAGTTGAAGCTTTAAGGAACACAGGAAAATTTGATCCTAACTTGTATGAGGATGCAAATAAGTCCGACAAGAAAGAACAACATGACAGAGGTTAATAAACTGGAGAGATGAAAGAGGAATGCAACTGAGTAATGATGTGCATTCCATCAAGATAGTTTCCTTTATTTTCTTCTTTAATATTGAAGTAAAATAACTGTGACATTTGTATCAAATTTCTTGTCTTATGCTTTATGCTGTAATACAAATGTCTCTTTAAGGATCAGAGCTTTTGTGATAGAAGTATAAAACCCTTCTTGAAAACTAATTTCTGTATAAACAGAGAAAGCAAGATATTTAGCTACCACGTACACAGAATGTATTCTAAATCTAAAAATTTAAGAGACACTGCACAACACAGTGTATTTAGCCAAAAGAAAGGAAAGGGATTTCTCCAACTAGTTTAAATTAGGAGTCATACCAAATTCCAAGTTGTCTTTAGTTTTGTCACACTGCTTTCAGACGTCTAGGGTATATAAAGAGAATATATGAAAATATATTATGACGCTTGTGGAATACTGAACTCCCACCACACTCCACAATATCACTCCTTTACATTAAAAAAAAAAAATCAATGTGCTTTCTGTAGGTAATCTTAATATATGGCACACTATGTACGGAAAGAGTGAATGCTCTGGGAGCTGGCAAAATTTTGACTAGTTGATGAAAAGGTGATGGTTTGAAATTTACCAAATAATTGGTCATTTTTCACCTCAGACCTGGGCTTTGCAGTAGTTTATTGTCCTCAGACCAGTTCCCCATCTGTTACTTTTCACCTCTCCCCAGAGCACCTGTTATTCAGAGCAGCAGCTTCCTCTGAATGCTGT